CCCTCGACGAGCACGATCTGCAGCTGCTCCGCTCCGCGTGCGGCTTCGTCCGGCTCGGGCGGAGGTCTGCCGGCGGCGCGCACGTCCTCGGCGAGCCGCTCCATGTCAACGGCCGCCGGTGTGTCGTGCTCCGGCGGTGTCGACCAGTACGAGGCGGGCTTGGGCAGACGAAAGTAGGAGTCCTGGTGTAGCAGCGTGACGCGCACACCCTCGTGGCGGAGGGCCGCGGCGAGGGTGACGGCGAGGGTCGACTTGCCAGAGCCGGACGGGCCGGCCAAGGCGACGGCGACGTGTGAGTGCGCGTGCGCGTTCATGGCCGCGGGATTTTCGCTTTCTTTTCCTCTGCTTTAGAGTTGAGGTTTTAAATTCTTTTCCTCTGCGCCTACACTACTTTATCTGGGCTTCACTTCCTAGCATCCGTGAGGATACATTGGAGCGTACTAGGGTCCGTCTGGAGTCGTCGCGTGCCTCCACAAGGAAGAGCTACGCAGTACCTGACTGACATCCCCTTGCTGTGGGGTCCTGCCACTAAAGGCGGTGGGTTGGGACTCGATCAGCTTGGACGACCACGGGCACGGAGGCAAGCCTCAACGCCCCGTGGCCTGGCCGCGTCGCCGAAAGGGATCGCACCACAGACCAGAGAGAAGGGAGGGAGGAGCTTCTAACCATGCGGAGAGCCCTCAGTGCTCAGAACGACCCCCCTCATTCCAGGAGAGGGTGCGGGTGGGGAAAGCGACGAACCGGCGCAGCCAGAGTGCTGGCGCGGTCGCAGAGCCTGGCGCGGCCACAGAGCTGGCACGGCGCCGGGCCAGGAAGAGCAGCGAGAGAGCTGCAGGAGCACCACGCAAAGAGCGCGGCCACGAGGCACACGGAACGTGCTTGGACGTACGTCGCGTCCTGAGTGTTCACGGAGAAAAATCCGTGAAGACTGGCAGGAGGGATGAAGTCCCTTCATATGAGAAGACGCTCCTCAGTGAGTACCTGCGATAAAGTAGTAGCGCTCACACGAGTTGGGGCCCCTACCCCAATCGTTGACGGCGAACTCTCTCTCTTTCACCCCTTTTTGGTGGCGGCGTGCCGTCCTCCCATCCCTCCCTTGTCTGTTGTGCATATTTTCTTTCTTTTCTCGACGGACTCGTGTGCGCCCCGCACCCATGCTGCCACATAGCTCAATTGCTGCCACGCACAACTAGCGATTTCGCGCGGGAGCGATTCTCCCTCGCCACCGCCGCCGTCGCCGCCACCACCATTGTTCCACCAGGCACGAGGCTACACCGGACCCTTTGCGGCAGTCCCCGACTTCAACCTTGGAGCCGATGATTTTGTCATCGAAATGGACGTCACGCCTCAGACTCCAGGCATGAACCAGCACGGCGGGACTATCATTGGCCGCCATCAGTCAGGCGTTGCACTTGGATGGGCGCTGATTTTGACCAACTCTCTGCACGTTGTCCTGACACTGTACGGCGCCACGGGATACGACATGAGGGCGCCCCCCTGGAAGCCGGCCTGCGTGCAGGACGACGTCACCTTCCTGGGCTGGTGGGGCGGCGAGCTCATGTCCGCTCGCGCTCTCACGGTCGGCCAGAAGCAGCGAGTGGTGTTCTCGCGTCGTGGCCAAGACCTCTCCTTGTACGTGGATGGCAGCGAGAGCTGCAAGGCCAGCCTGGACTCCTACACCGACCCGAGTGGCTTTGTTCCGGTGACCATCGGCGCGCACTACATCGGCGACCAGCTCACTAAAGCGCCATTCTTTGGCAAGATCGAAAACACCGTCGTCAAGCGCGGCTCTCTGGCGCCTCCGCCCGCTCTCGCACCATAAAGCTCGCACCATAAAGCACGCGTCCTTCGGCACGGTCTCGTATGGCATGCCTATCGTCGCGCTCGAGGCTGTTGGCGTTGCATGTTCGGTCGTCCCTCGCGCGCTGGCACGTGCCAGGAGGTGCTCGCGGAGGGCGTAGTGAAGCGCTGGTGCAGGTGACGAGGAACGGACACAGGCACACCTTGGAAGAAGAAAATCCGGGAGGACGCAACCGTGGTACACCTGTGCCGGGAAAGGAAGAAAATCCGGCCGGCGTGACTGAGGCGTGACAAAGGATTACGAGCGCGAGGCGCCACACACAAGCCGCACAGAAGCCGCGCACCGGCTGCACGCCGCCCAGCGCGTTAGCAGCACCGCTCCCAGCACCGCCGGCGGGCACGGCCGCGGCCATGTCCGCGTCACGCTGTGCGGCCCACGCCGTGCTGCTGGCTTACGCTGCCGCTGCTGCGGCCGCCGACGTTGGCGCGTTCGACTGCGCCAACCGCTCCTATCCAATGCAGACAGTGTTGAACGAGACTACGCAAGACTACGAACTCGTGGAGCTGGATCTGAAGACGGGCGAGTACAACCTCGTCTACACCTTTGACTCCAGGTTCAGTGACACCAGGTACAACCCCAACGCACCGACTCCCTCGCCGAGCATGAACGCGATGGCCTACAACCAGAAGGACTCGATCGCCTATGGCCTCTTCCGTGATTCAAGCATGCCGAGCGATGACTACAACCTGTGCCGCCTGTCCGCCGACCAGGCGGAGCAGCCGGTGCAGTGCCTCTGCAGGGTTCAGCGAAGCAGTAAAAAGGATGACTACAATGGTGGCTCGCTCTACGCTGGTGCTATCCACAACGACACCTACTTTGTGAGCTCGGGAGGGCACGACCTGTTCGCAGTCCGGAGGGTGAGCAGTCTGACCGTCAACACCGACGACGTTTGCCCGGGAAAGTGGCTCTATGAAGGCTATCCGGAATTAGTTGCGGACTTTGGGGCGCCAGACTTTGCAACTGACTTGGAGACGCTCGGGCTCACGAGGGGTGATCTCATAAATCAGCTCGGTTGGAGCGATACAGGGATCTCGGAGAACTATCTCAAATACAGTCTACTCTACGTGTTTGACAGCAACGACATTGTGATTGACTGGAAGCCGATCAAGCACAACTATGCAGAGGGTGTGAAGCAAAACTATGCCGATCTCATCACGTACGAGCTTGAAGGCCAGACGTACCTCGTTTGGCTCGGCGAGAGGGACGCCTCCATGTTCGTCATGAGAGTTGCTGGAGAGGAGATCGACGGCTACGCCCTCATTCGTACTCGTATTGTATGGGATGACTGCAATGGGTGCCCGGGTCCCGGACCGTTCGACACTTTCGGCGCCGGCTTCAAGTACGTCAACGAGTTCGGCGTGCAGCTCTACTTTGCGGCGAACAGCGGCGTGGGCGTGCTCAAGGTTGACGTCGCACAGCTCGATGTCGCGATCGGGGCCTGCAACTGGACCACGCATGCCTGCGGACTCGGTGCCGGTACCACCGTCGATCTCACGCGCATCAATGCAGCCTACGAAACCACGACCAATGACGGCTTCAACTGCGAGACGGCGAATGATCCCTTTCTTCCTTCGCCTCCGCCGCCGGCACCGCCGGTGTTGCCTCCGCCGCCCTCCACCCCGCCCCCGCCGCCTCCCCCGTCGGCCTCGCCCTCGCCTCCGCCACCCTCGCCGCCACCGCCGTCACCGCAGCAGCCGTCGCCGCCACTCCCGTGCAGCTTGGTCGGCGACTTGGTGATCATTCTTGATGCCAGCGGCAGCATAACAAACAGCCGGGACGATGTGGCGGCGTTTGCACAGGACGTTGTGGACTCTTTGGATGTCGCCGAGACGGTCGCTAAAGTGGGGCTGGTACAGTTTGCCTCCGACACGACCAAGCTCAGCGACCTCACCTTCAACACTGGCGTCCTCACGTCTGCCATTGAGGTTTACAAAAACGGCGGTCCCCCGTATGGATGGACCTTCATTTCCAACGGGCTCCTCATGGGAGAGCAGCTGCTCGCTACTGGCCGCTCAGGTGTCACGAAGGTCATGCTACTCCTGACCGATGGAGAGCAGACCTGCAGCCGCAACCCAGGTTGTGTCGCAAACGACGACTCCTGTTACGAGAACTGGGACTTTAACAACAGCCCGCTCGGCGATTACAAGGCCGGGAGTCTTTGCGGAAACGACATCGGACCTTATCAAAAGCCCGAGGCGATACGGCAGGCGCAGCTGATCAAGGAGCAAGACCCAGACCTGGTCCTTTTCGCAGTTGGCTTCGGAGGGGTGAGCAACGACACGCTGGAGGCCATTGCAACGCCGGGAAACTCCATCTTTGGCAGCACCATCCAAGACATCATTGCCGAGTTCGAGGAGAAGAACCTCTGCACAAGGCTCTCTCCGTTGGCCCCGCCGAGCCCGCCATCTCCGCCGCCACCATCTCCACCGCCGCCCACGCCACCGCCGCCGTCGGCGTCACCGTCGCCACCGCCGCCGTCGGCGTCGCCGT